TGGATGGATGGATGGATGGATGGATGGATGGATGGATGGATGGATGAACAGATCAATTAATCTTTTCTTAAGTAATCAATAACCCGGCGGTTCTGTTCCTGAACCAATCAGAACCTTTTTGTTCTGGAGGTTTCTTTCTCCTGCAGACCAGTCATCTGGGTGAGGAGTAAATGAAGGAGATCAGGAAATTAATTAGACAGGAAGTGATTCGTAGATCATCTGATCTCCACCGGGGGGCGCCTTACCTCACCTGACTGATTATTATTGATCAGAGAAAAAGAGTCCGTCTTATTTACACCCCAAGACTTTCTCTGGTCCACAGGAAAACCACACGACCATTAACTCGCCCATCCAATCACAGAGAATGTGTGTGTGCGTGTTTGAGGGGTAATCTCATTACTGTGATGGCTGCTTTCATTTACACACACATCATTTACTACAGTATGACTCAACCTGTCTGCCCTGTGTGTGTGTGTGTGTGTGTGTGTGTGTGTGTGTGTGTGTGTGTGTGTGTGTTCGTGTTCTAGTATTTCAGTGCATTAGTATATTGTCTACACGTATTGATTCGGTTTGCTGTGTGTTTGGGAGACTCACTTCAGTGCTGATGTCTCTGCTGCATCCTCATAAGTCAGGACATTTCCTTCATGATTTGGACGTTTTGTCCTTGTTTGTTGGACGGGTTGACATCTGGACATGTCTGTGTCCATGTCTGTCCACCTGAATAAAGGTTCATGAAAAGGCGTGGCTAACTACAGAAGATTGCTGAGGCTATTGGGACCCAAAATGTCAAATTGCGAGCACTCAAAGATTTTTTAATTATCAATAAAACTGAAAAATTTATTTACTTTTAAGACATTTATTGTTTTTTTTCTTCAACAATATATAAATTTGCAACATATTAATTATTAAAGCAAAGTAAAATACAAACACAATAGCCAACTCACTTTTTGCATATTTTTGTTCCTCCATTTGTATCTCTACTGTTCTTCAAAACATACCACACACTTAAAACAAACACCGTTTTTTGGCAATGAGTACATAATTTTTTGTCTGGAAAATTAGCCATTTCAAAAACCTCCAGAATATAACATCACAAATCAGCAGGTGCTGCCCGTTACCTAGCAACCCCAGCAGAGCTCCAGCCCATTTGGTCAGCTGGTTTTCCCACTGGATTTGCTGTACAATGGTTGCTGGAAGAGTTTTGCTGTTGACTTACCATCTAGAAAACACTTGTTGCATTCTGGTTGGTTGTGCAGGAGGCTCCACTTCTGCTTCTCACAGATGTACAGTTGTATAATTGCTCATTTGTTAGTAACTATTTACACATGGTAGTTTAAATGTTGGGAGGGGGGCGTGGCCAAGAGCAGCTTATTTGCATTTAAAGCGACAGACGTCCTAAAACAACTCAAGATAGGCAGAACTGAGCAGACTGAAATCTCATTATCTGAGAATGGTTTTGTGCAAAAACTGTAATGAACACATAAACGATCTGAAGCCAAAACATTTAGATGGATAACCAGCTAAACCTGGAACAGGAAGTCCTATCAGAATAAAACAGGAAGCTCATATCATGTCCTCCACTATCTAGCTGTTGTTGTTGTTGATGATGATGATGATGATGATGATAATGATGATGTTGTGGTTGTGTGCGCCCCCTGTAGGAGATGTGGTGGACATCTACCAGAGGGAGTTCCTGGCCCTGAGGGAGCGCCTGCACTCAGCTGAACAGGAGAACCTCCGGCGCTCCAAGGAGCTGAACCTGGTTCTGGAGGAGATCAAGCGGGCCATCGCCGAGAAGCAGGCGCTGCGAGACATCAACCGCACCTGGAGCAGTCTGTCAGGTCAGTGATAAAGAGCAGCAGGAGGAGGAGGAGAAGACTTCACTTATCACAACTTAATGAGTACGGTGGCAACATGACACAAATCAGATATTTACAGAAAATCATAATGGAGGAGTTTGAGTTGAGATGAATCAGTCAGGGAGATTTTCGGTAACACTTTATTTGAAGGGGGTTGAATAAGACTGTCATGACACTGTCATAAACATGACATAACACCTGTCATGAACATGAATAAGCCTTCATGAATATTTATGACTGTTGTCATAAAGCATCATTCGTTAAATTATGACACTTTTAATACAAAGTTGACATTATTCAAAATGTCTTTGTTATGACAACTTGACATTAACCAATAAATCATTACTATTATAAATTTGTTATAAAATAATTACTGATTGCACTTTAAAAATTAGATAACTTTATGTTATTAAAGGTAAAGTTTAAACAGAAATAATTTCTTGGTTAATGTCAAGTAGTCATAACAAAGACATTTTTAATAATGTCAACTTTGTATTAAAAGTGTTGTAATTTACCGAATGACGCTTTATGACAACAGTCATAAATATTCATGAAGGCTTATTCATGTTCTTGACAGGTGTTGTGTCACTACAGTCTTATTCACCCCCCTTCAAATAAAATGTTACCAGATTTTCTCTGAATTTTCCTCTTCAGTGTTTTATCTGTTTCACAAAATAATGACTGGTTAAGAACCGACAAGAAAGAAAGTAAAAAAGGGAGAAAGAGAAGGAAGGAAGGAAGGATGGAAGAAGTAAAATGTGTGTTGTTGTTTGGTTCTGGTTCGTCGGGTCTGACTGGTTCTGGTTCCTCAGAGGAAACGCGGCTGAAGCTGTGGAATGTGAGCAGCAGTAAAAACGTCCTGCAGCTTCCCTCCATCTTCCATCATCTTCCTCACCTGCTGAGCCGCGAGGACAGCCTGCAGCCCGCCATTCACCTGGGCCAGGGACGCACCGGAGGTAAGATACACGACTGCTGAACCTGGAACAGAACCAGAACCAGGGAGGAAAACTCCTCCTTCTGTTAGATCTGCTATTGGGTTTCAGATATTTGTTCAGTCAATGACGGCAACATGCAAACCAAGGCCACATCACCATACCTCCATCACCGTATGTCACAAGACGGAATTAGAATAACTACAGCAAAAGCATGCAGGATAACATCAGAAACCTAATAAAAAAATCTGTATAAACTTAGAATAATACCAGGATGAAATCAGGGCAAAATCAAGCTTCAATCAAGATAAAATAAAAATAAACTTTGATTAAAAAAATAACTAATAAAATCAGAATTAAAAACATTCTGAGACACAACTATTAAAATATCATGTAAAGTAAGGGTAAAATTGGAATAAAATGCAGAATGAAACCAAGAGAAAATTAATAAAAAAGTCTGGATAAAATCATAATAATGCCAGTATGAAATTAGGTTGAAATAAGGTTTAAATGAGGGTGAAATAAAAATGTATCTTGATTGATTGATTGATTGATTGATTGATTGATTGATTGATTGATTGATTGATTGATTAAAAGCATAACAGAGGACAGATAAGACCAGACCATATTCCTCAGTTATCCTGTAGTGGAGGTGCAGCAGACCGGTCAGTTTATTCCCTTCTGACGGTTAAAACTTGTGTTTCTGTGCCTGCAGCAGATCCTGTGTGCTTTATTGGATTGGGATCTGGAATATTGTGTTGGAAAAAGAAACATTATGAGGGGTGCTTGATGATTTCTGACAGCGGGCTTCGATGACGTTTACTGTTAAAAACCAGGTCTGGTCCTCAGCTGGCCGCAAGCGCACTGCTTAGGCCTGATTTTTATGATGCTGCCTCACGAATTAAACTCAGCGGAGAGAAAATGTTCAGCAGGAGAAACCTGGACGAGATGAGCTACTGGCTCCAGGGTGACGCTGCAGGAGGAGGTTAAATACAGGAAGAAATAAGACAAAACATCATGAATCACACCTGCACACACACAGACACATGTGCGCGCACACACAGACCTGAGTCCTGGCTGCACCGGCAGCACGGGGACAGACCTCCGCCTGGGGACACACAACCCACTGAGACCCCTGTGACTCAGCCACTGGCCCTGGAGGGTAAAATACAGATGGCTGAGGAACATCACTGTGTGTGCGTGGTGTTTGTGGGTGTTTGCGTGTGTGTGTGGAGTCTCATTTATTCATGAAGTGATTTTTTTCTGCCTTGTAAACCATTTCCCACTGCTTCATATGGATGTAAACAGATAAAACCAGAGAAAACAAACATATTTATACAGCTAAGTATGTGTGTGCATGGATAAGTGTATATGTGTGTGTGTGCGTGTCTGTGCGTTTGTTTGTAATACCTTGTGGGAACGATTTTCCTGACATACTACGTTGTGGGGACCAATTGCTCCTTGTGGGGACCGGAACCTGGTCCCCACAAGAGGAAACCCTGTTTTTGGGTCAGGGGTCAGAGTTAGGACTAAGGTGTGAATTGAGTTTTGGTTGGTTAGGGTTAGGAAAAGGGTAAAGGTAAGGTTTAGGCTATAGAAATGAATGGAAGTCAATTGAAAGTCCCCACAAAGATAGCCACGCAAACGTGTGTGTGTGTGTGTGTGTGTGGGGGGGTGTTTGTGTGTGTGTGTGTGTGTGTGTGTGTGTGTGTGCACGGCTAAATGTAGTGAAATGTATTTATGATGGAGCGATAGTGGTTTGTTGCCCTGGAAGTGTTTGATAATTTAGTGCAGGACAGAGATAAGAACCAGGAAGAGATACTGAGGAAGATTACTATAAATGCTTATCTCTGTGTGCGTGTGTGTGTGTGTGTGTAAAAGACGGAGTCAAATAAATCAGATTTTCATGTAAAATCATTAAAGACCAAAACAGAGTGCACTCAGTGTTTTTTCAGTTGCATATTGAATTAAATTAAGGTCAACCTAAACAGAACAGAAGCCATGTTTTATTGTTCTGGTGTTCTTGTCTACCAGTATTCACGAGGACAGCTGGAATAATTCATGGTTCTGAGGACGCTGTGGATTATGAGAACCTTATGGTCAAAGCTGATGTGTTCATAGTTCTGTTACAGTACCAATATTATCTCCCAGTAGCCCTTTCCCCAAGTTTGGGCTTTAATGTAGGGCTGCAACTGACAACTATTTTAGGAACTGATTTTTTTTTGACAATCAGTCAGATAAAAATTGGCACATTCTGCAGATTTTTAATTTAATCACTTAACTTTTTTATGTTCTCTGGGACAGAGGTACTGCTTACCCTCATGAATATCTTACAATAGAAACTAGGAATTAGGGCTGGGCCACATGGCTTAAAAATAAAATATCAGATTTTTTTCTAATTTTTAATTTAATATTTTTTCTTGCTTTCTTTTCTAAGAAATCAATTACAAATGACAGATAATGGTGGAAAAAAATTACAATTTCAAAAACCAAAAGTTCACTTCATCAACAATGGATTTATGGTCCAACCCTGCTAGGAATATTGTTTAATTCAAATGAGCGAAGTAGTATACATCTTTGTTCATAGTACCTATCCAGACCAGCTCAGTCCAGTTCAGACCAGTTCAGTATATTCCAGACCACTCTGTTCCCAGCTGCTGATGGTTCCTGTGTCTCCAGTCTCCATAGTGATGGGCGTCCCAAGTGTGAAGAGGGAGGTCCACTCCTACCTGACGGACACGCTCAGCTCTCTGATGTCGGAGCTCAGCCCGGCGGAGAAGGACGACTGCATCATCGTCGTCCTCATCGCAGAGGTCAGTGTGTGTGTATGTGTGTGTGTGTGTGTGTGTGCACGTATGTGTGTGCGCGCGCGCATGTGTGTGTGTGTGTGTCAGCCATGTTGTAGAGAAACATGGATGCTCCGACCAGCGCTGTTATTTGTATTGTCTCTCTCTTGTGGTGGAAGTGAGCTGGAGTGGAGTGGCGATGTATATGTGTGGAAGTTTTGTGTGAACAATTCTTTGATTTATATTGTAAATATTTATATTTTCACTTATATTGTAAATATTTGTTTGTGAGGAGAGCCAACGGCAATTTAGTGCAGTAACGGCTGGTCAGCTGAGGCACTCACTGTTGCTCATGTTCTTAACAGTGTTCCTCAAAATAAAAGAACCTGTGAAAAACCACACTGACTAATAATTAAGTGTGCAACACAAACTAGCTTCTTTAAATCGGTTAAAGTGTTTAGAAAGAACCAACCATAATCCTGTTTTTATAACTGAGAATAAATTTGTTTAATCAAGTCCAAGTGAATGTGAAACACTACCATTTTTTCTTTTAATTTAGCATATGTGCAAAATCATGTTCAAGTCTTAAGTTGATAGCATCCCTTCCCTATAAAATTGGGGGACTTCATTTGCTTGATTTATGTTTTATTTTTAATTATTTTAGCCTGTGAGAACTTCTGACTCAGATTTTGGCCCACATGTCTACACCAGGGCGTCCATAAGTTTGGACGCCCTGGTGTAGAGGCAGCAGCAGATCTACTGTAGCTTCGGTCTTGTTGTCGGATCGATGGAGGGATTTTCACTCCTGATCACATGTGAGGCCTGGCAGGAAGCTTCAGCTTCTGTTTGGACTAAAATATCAAGGAAACCCTGAAAGCTGCTGAATCTGTGTGTGATCACTGAAAAGTGAAGCTGCAGAGTTATTCATGGCTGATCTGTCAAGGAGAAAGCTTCAGAAAGAAGATCTGAGCAGCAGGAAGTTGTTATTTACATGCACTTCCTGTTTACCTCCACTGGTGCTTTCAGATTAAAATACCACAAACTCTCTCATAAATGCTGAAAATGGTGATAAGGCCACTGAGAGCCTCTTGGAGATAAATGGATGTTAATGTGATAAAGGGAAACACTACAGTGTGTGTCTGTGTGTTATTGTATTTCTACCCTATTTAAGACCGCGACCATGTCTACAAAGAGTGGCCTTAAAAAGTGGGTATATTGGTGGTTCTCAGAAACTGACAAATACAGGAATTTGTGTGCGTGCGTGTGTGTGCTCATTAGCTAAACCAGTGGCCTTTACAAATAATGTGAAGAAACACACGCATCAATACACTTTCATCCTGATGGTCAATTACACGCACGCACGCGCGCACACACACACACACACACACACACACACACACACACACACAGAGTGATAATGTCACTGACTCTGCTTCATGCAGCTTCCAGCTGCTGCAGGCGGAGGAAGCAACCATGTTGTGATTCTGTTTCATTGTTCTGAGCCTTTAGTTTTAGTAGGGAAGCTGCAGTTTTTTCTGGATCTGCTGGATGTTCCCCTCATTCATCCAGATGTTTCTGCATCTGGACCTGTTCTGATCTACTGTAAAAACTAAGTTGAGAGTTTTCCCAGATCTGGGAAGACAGAAGGTTTCAGTGATTTCACATCGCTTCCTTCCCATCTTAGTTTCTCTCTACAAATAAACTGAGCTGAATTTTATTTCTTTCAGTCTCATGTTCAGTTTTCAGTTGTTATTTGGACCAATTTTATAATTTAAATCATTGCAGGTTCTGGTTTCACTCAGACTCATGCTCATGTTCATGGTTCACAATGTCTGACTCTTCTCTAAATGTTAGTTCAACCCAGATTCTGTTTTATTTCACTAAAACAACTGAAATACTGAATATTAACTCATTTCATTGTAAAGGAAGAAATTCACTTTTTCTTCCTTTATTTGTTAATTTAATTATATAATGTGTTGAATAATTGGAAAAATAGAAAATATAGAAAATATAAACAAGAATAAATCCATTTTATTACCATATATTTTTATAAATATATGGTAACCATATTACCATATATTTTTATAAATATATGGTAACCATATTACCATATATTTTTATAAATATATGGTAATAAAATATATTTATGTAATATAAATATACTGTATATTGTATAAATATATTTTATGTTGTATAAATACATTATAAAATATATTTTATATTGAATTTTGTTTATGTTTACATGAAAATATGTTCTTGTTTACATAAACATAAATATATCTATGTTTATGTAAACACAGACAGAAGCAGTTGTTTTGCTTTTATTTGTTAATATTTATACACGTATCACAGAACCTACAGGTTTTGTTTTTATTGTTTTTTTCTGATTTTAGGCCAACCTCAAAATTCCCCCTTCTTTAAAAATACTGCAGAAGATTTATTTTTACACAATGTAATGAATTTTACATTCATTACATTACATCACTAAGGGACAAGGGTGTACAGAAAATGGATGGATGGATGGGAAATGATTTTTAGAGAGCAATACTTTTCCTGGGGTTTTTCTGTCTGCTTTTATAAGAATTTGCTCTATTAAACTTTTTAATTATATATGTTGAGCTACAGAAGCTGGTAACTGCTAAACACAAAATCCTCTCCATGTTTTTGTTTAGTTTCTTGTGAAAATATCTCAACACCTGAAATGAAACAAAATTAACCTATAAGTAACTTTTCAGCAAAATATAGGAGGTTTATTTAAGTCAGTAACTGTTGAAAATTGACCCTAGTACTCATTGCATTGGCATATATTTTTCATGTATAACAAGATAAATAGATTTTTTTCCTAATTGGCTTTTTGCTTTATAGTTCTTCAGCTTCGCTTTGTTTCTTTAGTTATGAGCTGACGTCAGTGGGTTAATATTAGACACGATGTTTCCTCTGCAGACTGTGTTTGATTGCTTTTCTGTCTATGTTTACAATTTCTACTTTTATATTGTTTTTATTTTCTGGAGCTCCCATTTCATGGATGTCTGAAAACCTCCTTGAACCCTCCATCACTTTCTCATTGTTGCCCCAGAAATCGTTCCACCCTGGAAAATGCCTGATGGAGAACAGTTTTCTGCTCAAACGAGGGAATGTTTTCACCAAAAGCCGAGAAGCGTTTTCAGAGCAGAAGGTGAACAGTTTGATGATTTCTGACTCCGTCTGTTCCTCGTTAACATGGCGAGCTAAGCTCCACCCGGCTGGCACCAATAGGACGCCGAACCAAACCGCAACCCCGCTCCGCTGCTGGAAACTCGCATGTGACCGCAACACGACCTTTGCCATTAAACAAAGGAGCTCAGCCTCCCACCCCGGCCAATCACAGCTCGGGCTGTGACATCACTGAGGGATCAGGATGTTCGTGTTTGGGTGTGAATGAGGGGGTTGATGTGTTTTCACGCTGGGAAACAAGATTATCTCAGTTCGCCACATGTGTGCCGGACCAAAACAGCTGCAGAGAGTCGGACCATCACAACGCGACACAAGCAGAACCAGACATAATGTCACCACCAAGAGATGCAGCGAGACGACAAACCGATGAAGGAGATAAGGCGGAAAAACCAGAATAAATTCACATGAAGCAGCGAGGAACAGTCAGCCTGACATGAACAGATTAACTTAGATCAGAAGAGGAGTGACAGCAAAATTTCCAAAATATGGGAAAAAGAGATAAGAAAAAATACAGAACAAAAGAAAGACAAACATTCAATTCAACTCAAAAACACGTTATCCCAAAATTAAATGTTGCAAGATCATCCAAGTCTCTTAAAGGAGTTACTGTGGATGACGACGCTGTGGAGAGGAAGATCTCCAGTAGCAGTCAGTGTAGCCGTGAATCTGAAGAGGCCTCTAACTAAAGACTGTTGCTCTATGACAGTTTGATGCTAACTTGCTAGCAGTTTGTTATCCAGACAACAGAGATGATATTCCACAGTAACATGTCCACCTGTTAGCTAGCTCTGCTAATCCACCTCCTTTGCTTTTGCTTTTCCTCTTTAAATTTCCATGTGTCTGTAAGATTAGAAAGATGTTGGAGTAGGGGATAAGATCCTTTCTGTCTTTCTACTTTCATGAAGTCTAATTTTTAAATCTTCTGCGATTTGGGGTCAAAGTTCAGATATTGAGAGATGCCAGTTGTAAAAATAATACCTTGTTGCTACGGTTATGAGTCATACCTGTCAGAAAGTAAAACAGCAACAGTAGAAGTCCTTACAAAGATGGTAAATTGTAGGACTTCATTTGGAAAAAAGGACAGAAATTTACAACAAAATCAGACACAAAAATAAGTGAAATGCTGGAAAAAAATCAACAAAATCTGAAACGGAAATAAACGGAGAAAAGAAGAAACCAAAACCAAACAACGAGCTGGAAGTAAAACACATGCAAATGAAGCAAATGGAGGCAAACCACAGAGGTGATATCAGCTGTTAGTGTTAGCCGGAGAGCTCAACATTTTATAACAGAAAATCTTCAGAGATGAAATCACAACGACGATCAAAACTAAAGGCAGAAAAATAAATATTCAACAAAATCAGGTTCAAAAATGTCCTGAAAATCTTCCAATAATCACAAAACAAAGATCAAAGAAACGATCCGAATCCGAGAGAAAACGATGCAAACAGACGCAAAACGAAGATGCAGCTCTGACCCGGTTCGACCCAGTTCGGTTCAAAGCGGACCAGAAACAACAGACAGAAAACTGGAAGAGACCAGAGACACACCTGCAAACCCGCAAGGAGAAGGCACAACCTCAGACCGGGTCAGAACCACTGGAGAACGGGTCAGAACCACAGGGGAATGGTTCTGATGGTCTGATTCTCATTTATACACTAAGTCGTGTCTGCAGCAGTGTAGAGGTTCAGTCCTTGTTACCATGGCGATGAGTCAGATTGGTGCTCAGAGGTCAGGTGTCAATCTATGCTGTGACCTTTGACCCCTCTGACTTTTGACCTCTGTCTCTCTGTCCCTTAGGCTGACCAGCAGTACGCCAGCGGTGTAGCCGACAGCCTGAAGCGCCTGTGAGTACCGCCCCGTGTTGGGAGCCATTGCCGCGGTAATGGACCCAGAACTTCCTGTTTCCCTACCGACCAGTTCCGGTTTTGTTTGTGTCTCTCCTACCAGTTTCCCGGCTGAGATCCAGTCTGGCCTCCTGGAGGTCGTCTCTCCGTCGCTCCACTTCTACCCAGACTTCTCCAAACTCAGAGAGTCCTTTGGCGACCCAAAGGAGCGGGTCCGGTCAGTACCACAACATTTCACCAGAACCTGAACACCGGCCCATGGACTGGCACCAGGACTCAGGCACCATGCATACATGTTACTGACAGCCAGACAACTCGGGTTTAATTTAAAAGGATAGCGCAGTGTTTCTCCACCCTGGTCCTCAGACCCCTGTCCTGCATGTTTCAGGTGTTTCCCTTCTGCCACCTGAATCGTATCTCTGGGTGATTAACAGGCTTCTGCAGCTCCTGATGGTCATGCAATCATTTGAATTAACTCTTCTGGAATAGTGGCTCATCTAAAACATGCAGAGCAGGGGGGCGGTGAGGACCAGGGTTGAGAAACACTAGGATAGCGACTCAGTGTGCTATGCTAGCTTGACTTTGAAAAGCTCAACCTGAAATGAGCTGCTGAATTCAGTGTGTTTCTGTTCAGTTGCATAACTCTGACAGGTCATCAGTAGAGCAGACGTTTAAATCAACCAAACCGAATGTTTATTTTGAAATGATGACATTTATAAACGTATCAATAACATGACGAAAAAGTGACTTAAAAATGTTTTTTCTCTTAAAAATCATCGCTGTTATTTTTGACTGCAGACCGCACAGCGACCACTTATTAATCAACAAACAACCATCAAGCCTGGAAACATAAAACTAACGGACCGAATGTTCTGTTCTTTTTCTGGGAAATGTTTGTGGGTTTTTTTGTAGTTTTTTTTTTTGTCAGCTGGTTGCCACGGCAACAGGTTTGCATGTGGAGTAAAGCCGACAGAGAGTGATAGAAGAGAAGAATATGAGTGGTTTTGACTTGTTCACCTGTTTTCTGCTTTGTTTTTTCTTTATTGTGGCGCACTGCAGCTGCTAACGACCAAAACTGGACTAATCGTCTCATTAGAATGTCGCAATATTCAAAACAGTCATAGGGTAGGATTAACAAACTATGTCTCTTCAGTGACGGTTATGTAAAATTAAATTAAGTTGTCCAGTATAAAAGAGAAATTTGTTTAGTCCTCTATTGCATTTTGAGACAAACTGAACATTTTTAGATTTATATTCAGGGAGGTAACATATTCTACTCATCAGATGTGAAGGTGTGCATCACTAGCAGCTAACAGGTTAGCTATCATAGAAATATTGTTTGATTTCTATTAGGCTAGCTGTAGTGGCTAACAGGCTAGCTATAGCAGCTGATAGCCACTGTCCAGTCCAGTTATATATATGGATGCAGGTAGCAGCTGCAGTGCCAGCAGAAGTCAGTTTAGTCTGGGTTTCTGCGATCTTTCTATCAGAACCTCCTGGCAGCGAGTCGGACCCGGTTCCCTCTCATGTGAAGAACCTCGGGTCGGACCTCAGAGCCTCTCTGAGTCTGAACCTGCAGGATGAGGCTCAGGGTGTTTTGACCACCGTCCTGCGGCAGCGGCCACTCTCCCCCGCCTGCTTTCACATGCTGAGCCTCCGTAGCGCTCAGCGCCTTGCTGCAGAAGCTGCTGACTCTGACATGAAGAGCCACTCCTGTTAACTTTACTGCTCCCCAATAAAGCGTCGTCTCTCCAGATTGTTTTGAGGCCTCAGTGGGAGATAAACCAACTGCGGCTGTAAAAGCCTTTATAGCAGAACGCAGCGGCGATCTGAGTCTATTTCTGGTGGATCACATGAAACATGAACTCTGAAGAGTCTGCTTTGTGTTTCCTGCAGCTGAAAATTTCTGGTTTCATCCTTTGAGTTTAGCTGCTGTTTTTCTGCCTCTGGAGTTCAAAGGTCAGAGTTCAGAAAGCATTAGTTCAGCACTGAACCTTCTAGAGAATCAGCTGGTGTTAGAAAAATTAAAATATGCTCAGATGGTAACAGATCTGTAGTGATTTGGGTTTTCTGTGTTATGTAGAGTCTCTGTGTTGTCCTCTGTCCCTTGATTGAGTGCAGCTGTTCCTTGTTTCCCCCGATTGGCTCCCTGTGTATTTAAACCCACCTGTGTTCCTTCTTCTCTGCTGGGTCCTTGTTTGCTGTCAGTTTCCATTTTTTACCAGTCGCTACCAGAAATTAGCTACTAGCTCTGCTCACTCTGTGCTGCCGGGATTTCTACATTGTTCATCAAATCTCTGTTTACTGTCCATAACCTGGGCCTGCTGCGTCTGCCTCACCACTCTACTACCGCACTTCATGACAAGACCATCCTTAAATATTGGTAAAACAATGTAGATACAGAAGAAAATGTCATGAAAATCTAATATTAAGCATATGAAGTTAAATGTCCAAAACCTCTGCTGCTCTAAATGAAGTAAAGGAATCACTAAACATGCATATCTAGTATAATTCACTGACTGTTCATATCTGACATGATGTGTTGAAGTAAAACATTCATAGATTACATTTTTATTTTACAAAATAGAGCCAATACGTATAGTCAGACTTATTGAAACCAAGTACAACATTTTAAAATTCATGCACACAGCACAGAAAATCTTTTACTAAACAAGATTCAAACAGATTTAAAGGGAAAAACCAAATACAGACTTAAAGGAACTGAAACTTTAAAAACTGTAGCCTGAGAACAGCGATGATGGAAAAATGAACTCTGAGTTAAAACTCCTGATGAATTTAAAATTCATGTGAAAATGATCATGATGAAGCGAATTGGAGTTTAATAACTGACGTTTGGTTGAAATGTGTTGCTAATAATGTTCTGAGTCGGACAGCGACTTTTATTTTATGTGAATTTGGAGCAGATAGTTTTCTCTGTTTCCTTTTAGTTTTTACATGAAATGAACTGACTGTGAGGGAGCTGCTGCTTCAGTGGCTGACGGACGTTAGCGCCCCCAGCAGGCCTGAAGCCTCCGTGTTTGCTCTGCAAATTCAAATTTCCTCGTCTGGAAGCAGAATCATTCAAAGCGGCGCTGAATGCTGGGCTTTGTGCAGGAAGGTGCGATCAGGTCAGCGGCGGTTTGATTCTCCTCTGAACGGCTGGAAGCGTTTCGCTGGAAAAGCTTCATGCAAACCTGCAGGCGCCTCTTCAGTCCGCTGCACGCAAAGCAACCGGACTGCAGAGCAACCGGAGCAACCAGAGCAACCCGACTGCAGAGCAACCAGAGCAACTGGAGCAACCAGAGCAACCAGAGCAACCTGACTGCAGAGCAACCAGAGCAACCAGAGCAACCTGACTGCAGAGCAACCGGAGCAACCAGAGCAACCGGAGCAACCAGAGCAACCCGACTGCAGAGCAACCGAAGCAACCAGAGCAACCGGAGCAACCAGAGCAACCCGAATTCAGAGCAACCCGAGCAACCAGAGCAACCCGACTGGAGAGCAACCGGAGAAACCAGAGCAA